TATTTACTTTGAGCACACACTAAAAAAATATATATCGTCTGGTGCACTTTGAGTTTGGTTTTTTCTGGAATCCTTTTTTTTATTAATGCAACATCCAGGTTTCCATGTTATCTTCACTTCAGGGAGATAATTTTTATACAAAACTACAAAGGCTGCAGGCCTGCCAAGTAGAATGGTTACAGGACCTCAGGCACGGCCAATTACTCTTCATTTCTGCCCTTTCTCTAGCGGAGGTTAAGAATTTATATGTCCTTTGCATTTTGTCTTCTAGTATTTATAAATTATACTTGAAACACATCAATTTAACCGGAAATTACTGAATTCTTTTAAATCCTTCGGTCGTTGAATTCGGAATTCGCCTTAAACTGTTGTGTTTTCCACGCTAGTTACATTGATGGTTTACTTGCCAGGTCTGTCCAACTTCCTTCCGTCTGCTGAATGGACCCCACTTGGTCGAGGAACTGCACTTGACCAATGACTCACGAATCAGTCTTGCCAGCGTCGCAGACCCTTACATTCTTGTGAGCACCGAGGATGATGATCTCATCTTAGTTGCTCTCCAAGGTCATTCTGTAAGTGACTGCGATCGACGCAGGCAAGTCACAGAAAAGGAGGCAGGTCAAAAGCATCGTTTGCTCATTGACCGCGACCCCAATGACCTTCTCAGAACCACCTCTGAGAGCCTCCCATCACCTCGACACTTAGAACTCAGTTGGCCCAAGGTTACTCAGGTATGTTTGCCCCTCTTTACTATCATCCAATCTTCCGAGATATTTGGGTCAGACCGGAATTTTTGGGTTTAGAAAAAAACAATTGAAGCATTGGAATTTGTTACCTCTTTCGACAGTGACTGGTAGGCCTTATCATAGGAAGAGCTGTCAGTAGGGCTAAACAATCTTAGGGCATCCCGCCCCACTTTGTCATCGGTGCCAAAATGCTGACCTTTGAGATTCACTAGATGCATATGTTCACCGCCATCAGTGAAGGATTTGTCTCATGCAATTTCACGACAGGTTACCTGTCTATTTAGAATCAAGCGCTCAACTTGCCGAATTGAATCACTTATTACTGCAGTACTATGGGATGGGAATCGCCACAGTCAGGATCGTCGCAAACGGACGTACGGCCGCCCTTAGAACGGTTACATTTAAATCATTCATAGGTCTCACTACACTTGAGCTTCCTGTCACCGCAATTGTGCGGGTTTTATGTCGTCATTTGTAAGGAATTTGTTCACCCAATGCTGATCCTTACAATGGACACGCTACCACCGCTTTCTCCCATCTTGATTAACAGTGTCTGGACTGGATCAAGAAATGTGCGGCGGATAGTGGAAGTACCATTGGGATATATCATACACCTAGTACTGTGAATTTAATGCTCTCTGTTGATAGTTTGGCTACATGTAGGATTGCTTATGAAAAGGTTAATTGTCTACAGGATGGCGGAAGCGTTGTTTTTTTTTTCCGTAATACGACGCTTCTCTTGGGGATAGATGCGTGCTGGCACTTTGTAAAATATGTAGAAATGAGTTTCAAGTGTCTAGTTATATTTCTTTCTTGTCTTTAGCGGTTTGGCAAGGTAAATTCAAATTCTTTGCTCTCCCTCTCCCTCTCTGGCTATTTTTTATCTAACGTCTAGATATGGGGAATTGTTCCAATATTTTTTTTGTATTTTTACTATCTAGATTGCTCCACCTATTTGTTTTTGCCTGTATCACGATGAAACGGGTCGGCTGGCTCAATGGCTTGGTCGAAATGTTGACCCCAATTTACTGTGGAATGCGCCCAAAGGTGCCACTGAGAAAGCTAAGGCAGCGAATATCAACGAGTAGGTCTTTCGTCCGAATTCTGCAATGTCTTAATGCTAATACCATTCTTGAGAATAAGTTGTAATCATGATTCACTCACCGTTTATCTGGACATTTTCATTTCGTCCATTTACTTACAGCCCTATCAATAACTTGAGTTCTCTCGATGAAGAGGATATACTTTTGTATGGACAAGTGCTTGACGTTTGCAAGAGGGAAAGACGCGTCGGTCGAACGCGTGCAGATAAGGAAAACACACAGCTTTCCTCGGATTTTACTATGGAGTAGGTATTTTGAGACGGTTGTATTTCCGCCCTCTCTTGGTACAGGTTTTGCTCTTGATGCGTCTACTTTTATGTCCCATACTCATTGGTTCGTTATGAAAATTTCTTTATCTAAAATTCAGAGAAACTGGACCTAGAGAAACGACCTCCATGTACTTCGCATTTATCGTTTTTTCAAATGGAGTTCTTGAGGTTCGTTTCCTTGCACTCACCTTTATCTACCACTCAAAATGGATTATTTATTCAACCCATTTATTATTTCAGATTTATAGCATACCCCTGTTTGTATGCCTGTTCGAGATGCGACAATTCAATGAGCTTCCCAATCTTCTAGTGGATTCATTAGGTATGCCTGAAGTGGAGAAGACAAAGCAAGCTGGGTTCGTTTTGTAGTTAGTTTTAATTATTCATGCGATGCCATTCCCATGTCATAACACCTTTAACAGCATGCTATAGTCTTTCAAGTTTACCATATTTTGGTGTTTAGCCTGCCAGTGGAAAGTGAGGATCTACCTCCGCCGATTCGTGAAATCGCTGTTTTTCCAATGGATCGTGAGCAAGGACGACCAGTTTTGTTTGTCAGTTTGGTCGTTTATAGCTTCCTAAGCTTTTGTTTTCACTTTTCATTTATCTGGTTTGCCATCTACAATACAAAAGCGACTTGGTCGCTTTACACTCACGAGCCTTGACATTCTACACTAATACAACAGTTGGAGAGCATTGCAATAAGGTGGATGGTTTTTTCACTCTTTGGGTAGGTGCGAACCGATCGTGAGGTGGTCTGTTACGAGGCTCTCTGCGCACTCCCCGACGAGGCTGTCCCGTTGACTCCAATGCCTCCTAATCAAGCCCTGACCGATTGCGTCCACTCTCGTTGCTTGCTGCGTTGGATACGTTTGCCTGTGTCGTGCCCTCTGATGGCTCCCAGTAGACTTCGATCGGATCCCCGCGTTGTAGACATTCAGGTGCCTATTTTGACTCAATTTTAAAACAGGTTTCTCACGACACGTTTGGTTTTTATTTTAGAATTTCCTAAATCTTTTGTATAGGTGCCTTTATATCTCCATTAGGTATAAAGAACCTTCACTTGCATCAATAATTGAAGGTTTTTTTTTGAAAATCTCCATCTTCTTCGCCCCTCACATTAGTTTCCCTTTTTGGCCAATGATTTCAGGCAAAACTGCTCAGCAAGTCCAACGTCTTGCACCCCTTCGAGTCTATCGGCGGCCACAGAGGTATCTTCGTTTGTGGCAGTCATCCCGTTTGGATGTTTTGCAATCGCCTTGGTCACATCAACGTATTTCCCCACACCATTGATGGCATCATCACGAGTTTTGCGCCTCTCAATATCGCCTCCTGCCCTGACGGATTCGTCTATTTCACCCACACGGTAGGAATCGTGTTTTGTACTCCCTCATGGGCACATTTTATTCATGTGGTTTTGAGTAAAAGAAGTTGTTTAGTAGGAAACGAAAATAGGCCGGTGGGTCTTGCCTTTTGTAGTGAATGAAGCTGACGCCGTGTCTAGAGGTAGGATTTTTTTGAATTTTACAATTCTGAAGTGCTTGAGACTTCCCTGAAGGCGAAAGACGAAGATGCTAGGGTAGATTATGTATTGCCGGCATACAGAAGAGGCTGGGAGGCTACTGGCATGGTCCGGAGGCCAGGCCGCCTAGTGGAAATGCAATGACGGAGCCTAAAGTGCCTCCTTACTAAAACCTAGGCTTAAACGAACAAAGCATTACAGTTTTACATTGATTAGACTTTTACAGTCGAATCTAATGCCTACTGCGGTGTACGACTTTTTCTTCTTGTTTATATCGTTCAGAATAATTCACTTATAAGTGTGTTATTGAAGTGTTGGTATCAGACCAATCAGATTGAGATGGCTAGTACTAATTAACCCTAAATAAACCTTAATTTGTAACCGAAAAGAAAATGTGGGGTCTTGACCTGACCTTTGTCAGTGATTTAAACGCCTGAGAAGGCGCTCTCCAATCTCTGTTTCATATAAGCACTCATGAAAAAAGTTCCTTTTTTGATGTCGATTAGAACGAAATGAAGCTGGCCACTCTGCCTCCAGGCTATTCATATGAACAGAGACTTGGTATTGGTACAATTCCTGTCAACGGATGCCCACATTTTGTCCAGTATCATCTTGAAAGCAAGGTATTTGAAATGTATTTTGATATGCTCATATTTTAGTCCTAATCCAAGCCTATATACCCGTTTCATCACATCGGTTCATTATTACAGAGAATTGAATTCATGCTTTCTGTATTTAATGACTAATATATATATATATCGTTAAATTCCCTAGTACATCTGCATTTCAGACGTACGTGGTTATCTCCAGCACAGAGGCTGAGTGCCGCACCATAGTGCGTTTGAATGGGGACGGCAATAAGGAAGAGGAGTTGGTGGACCGTCCAGACACGTGCATCTTCCCCAAAATCGACGTCTTCAAATTGCAGGCCCTCGCCTCACTCCCAGCCGACAATTTGCGATCTGCTCCACGGTTTGAAGTCGTCCCGAATTCCACGTAATTTACCTTGATGGGCTTTATATTGCCTTTGACTAGTGCCATTATGATCGCAAGTGTTAACGACATAGCTAATTCACTGAGCGTTGAGGTATCACTGATATATTGTTCATTTTAGGCTTGAGTTCGAGCCTTTTGAATCAGTGTCATGTCTGGTGACCGTGCAATTATCATCTGATCTGACCTTCGATGAGACAAAGGACTACCTTGCGCTTGGAGCTAATTTGTCCTATGGGGAGGAGATTCCTGTTCGGGGACGCATTATTTTAATCGACATCATTGAGGTGGTGCCGGAGCCGGGTCAACCTCTCACCCGACACAAGGTGAAGACGGTCTATGATGGAGACCAGAAGGGTCCGGTCACTGCACTGACTAGTTGCCAAGGCTACCTCATCAGTGCGGTGGGGCAAAAGGTGTGTTTTAAGATATATTCATAATATAGTTTACTGATTAAAAATGAAAAACGTTTAGGTCACTACTATTTCCTATCACTGTTTCGAAATGAGTTCCTAAACAACATTACTTAACACTCATCCGGTCTTCATTCCTGTTGGTTTTAACGCCCCGAATACCCGATTTGAAAAATTTGGGTTTTACGGATTTGTCTCGGTGGCTACAATAAGCCCAGAACTGAAGGCTTCACTTAAGTCGTGGAGACTGTAGAAAGAGTAGCCTCGACGAGACACGCAAGTTTCCCTAAGAAACTCGATGCAGGGCTCCATAGCCATCCTCAGCACCTGAGTATCAGCTTTTCGATTGCTTCTAAAGCTTTCAATAATGCGAAGACAGCATCGGTCTAGGTGTATTTGATCATATCAAATCATTGTTGTCATCTTCTATTGTTTTTACTTAATGAAACCATTTCTAGTGAAGTTAAGAAGGTCTTGTTTGAGTTAATAAAGCTAAGTATGCGGTCTAAAATTTACCGTTCTCGGCGCTGAATTCGAAAATTCTGCAGTACAACTAAACGATATCGTGTAACAGTTGGAGCCCCTACGTTTACTTATTCATTAATAGATGAAAATTTAATTTTTCGTCCTGTTCATTCTATCCACTTCGTTTCTCTCCTTGTTGTTAGATTTACATTTGGGCGCTGAAAGGCGGTGATTTAGAGGGTGTCGCATTCGTTGACACCGATCTCTACATTCACACCCTACTTTGTGTGAATAATCTCATTTTGGCTGCAGATGTGCTCAAGTCAATCCAATTACTTCGTTTCCAGTCAAATATGCGAGTTCTCTCCCTCGTTTCACGAGATACCGCCTTTCGTGAGGTGTTTACTGCCAACTTCTTTGTGGATGGAGTCAAATTGGGCTTCCTTGGTGAGTTTCATCCGAAACTGGATAGTCTATATCTCTTCAATGAATATAAATGTATCTATTAGAAGCGTTCAAATCAAACAGAGAATTGAATTTATGGGTGGCAACTGCACTTCTTATGCTACCATCATACATATATCGCAGCTTTTAACCAACATCCTGACAACTTCGGCACGGGAAATTTTATCAACACGACTGAATCATTCTGGGAAGATCTGCTGTGCTAGTCCAAAGTTGAGATCTGCCCTGACACCTAGCGTGCGCTAACTCTTCAATGTTGTAACTTTTCGTGAATAATTTTGTTCATTGTTCTCACGGAAGGATTTGTCTGTGGAATTTCATAATAGGTTTTTAAATGATTATCCAGAATCAGGTGTTTTATGTAATGAATGCTCGCAGAAACGACTTATGTGGGCTTCAGGCCACCAACGCTTCCGAGATCATCGTACTGACTTCTTTGAAACGTCGACTTCGAAATAATTCAAATGCTGGGCGGGTGGGCATGTCATCGTTGTACTGTGATTGAGGTCTTTTGTACGAGTAAGTGTTCGCCGGTTCCGCGTCCTCGTTCACGACAAGCTTCATCGCTGAATGCTGTTCCTGCCATCTTAATTAGGGGTTTCCGGATTGGCTTGCATTATGTCCGCCACCAATTTAAAATAGTAATGGAACATGCTTCCGCGGTAGTATCCCTTTTTGAGCTCGTAAAGTCAACTCGGGTTTTACTTGAACACCTCGTAATTTAAAATTTGGGGAACAGCCATGCAATACTGTCTACTTTTTCGTTACTTAGTTACGGACAATCTGGGCAATCTAATGGTGTACAGTTACGATCCTGAGGAGTTGGCCAGCTGCTCTGGCCGCCGTCTCGTGCGTCGAGTGGACATGCGTTTGCCCTCAGTGGCCACAGCATGTTTGCGTGTGGGTAATCGTTTCCGGCACCCATTGCTCGCTGTCAAAGCTCTCCAAGCTGAGGCGAATGAGCTTCGACGAAATCGCAACAAGCTCACAACACCAGCAGTTGGATCGGGTCTTCTAGCCGCCCTGGAGTATGAGAGGACGCGACATTCTGTCTATCTCGGTAAGATTGTGTTCTGCGTCATTTGCCTATTGTTTTTCCTAAGAATAATGTGTCCTTTTTCTACCCGCGTTTCAGGCACTAGGAATGGTGCTCTCTACCTCATTACCCCGATACGTGATAAAATGTCTAGCCGGCTAAAGATTGTGGAAAAGAATTTGCTTCAGTGTATCGGCTGTACTGCCGGGCTGATCCCTCGTGTCTGTCGGTATGCCTCTTGTTATTTACTTATTAATTTATTCGTTTAATTGTCCGCTGATATTAACACGAAATTTTTTTCCCCAAGGCAATACAGCCGGCCCTTACCTGAGCTCAGTAATCCTTGTAGAAACGTTGTGGATGGTGACTTGATACAGCGTTACCTTCTGCTACCTCACGGGCTACGTATTGAGGTGGCTAAAAAGTCTGGACAGAGTTTGAATTCGGTAGGTGATTTGTGTGGTTATTGTTATCAGAGGAAACACAATTTCTTATATGAGCTGTCTGCATTGGATTGAGTTAGCACGTTCGGAGGAAAGCTTGACCACCACAACCCCCAAATTTTACTGTTCTAATATGGTACAGTTTGCCATAATTTTTTTGGGAAAACTCAACTGTTGTTAGGTGTTCGAAGCGTAATTATCATCAGGGCAAAAATATCAGACATCTGTTGCATTGTCCTGAACTCAACTCCAGGACTTGGCGCAACCGATTATTATTAACAATTGGAAAACTTATTTAATATTTGTAATACCTGGCTCAAATGAGACTGGGCCGTCGCACGTGTGTGGCTGGAAGTGAACATGTTAAACTCTGAAGCAGATGCTACAAATTTAGGCGAAATCGGTTCATGAAATCGGAATTGGACCTACCATTTGCCATGCTGTAGTACACACATCGTAACGCATTAAATTTGAGCCCTACATTATCATTTGGCATCCGTTTCCACTTTACATTTACTAAAAGACGTCAAACCATTGATTGTTCAAACTTGACGTCGGCGTTATCAGGTGGATTTTGTTAATAGTTATGCTAATCAAGTTGAAATGAAGGGTGATATTTGGTGCGTTGCTTGCTGATCCTTTACACTTCTCTGATGAACATTGAGCACTCTTGATGGCTGCGCCTGTCTTGCCTGAATAATCTTTCTCTCATTGTAGATAATGGACGATATCGCGGAAATTAATGCTATAACACTGCATTTTTGAGAAGTGTATGAATTGTTTATTCAATTTTCTATATTTATATCTGAATAAATCTGTATGATATCAGACTCAATGCCAATTGGCGCAACGGGTCGGTCTTCTTGGTGGGAGGGGCGTTTTCTAATTTTCTGCTTCGCCGCCTTGAAGTTGCCCTAAGGGGAGGGCGCAGATGGGAATTGGGAAGAAGATGGGGGGCAGGGATCGATTTGGAGTCGTCTAATTAGTAACTCGTCCTGTATTTACAAATCTGAGTAAAAGTTGGAGGACGTGACAGCACAGGATATTTGTGTTAAGGATTTGTATTCTTAACTTATTTGCATCAGTACTAAACTAGGGAGTGTCGAAAAACTTGTGCTAGTTAAAGCTGTGCCAGAAAATGCGGAAGGATACTGTTAAATTGTTTAAAGGTAGATTTAATAAACCGAATTTGTTTTAATTGATAGATTTGGTAATAACACGTTAATTCATTCAACGATGGAGGGATGTGTAGATGAGGACGTATGTACGCGAGTTCCTGTTTTTAAAAAGCTATAACGCCTATATCAAGTGTGTTCAATACACAGTCATTTTAAAACACTGCAAACTTTGTGCTACAAGGATAGTATGTTGTTTGTCATAGATAACGCCGTTAAGATGATTGTATCCCATAAGACCTTAGTTTTGTATAATAATATGAGACCATTCTTCATTCCCAGCCCTTGCATTTTAATGGCAGCATAGTCGTTTGAGATAACCTGACAAGTTCATTTTCGTCATTTTGAATGTTGAGATATCTAGTGTATATTAAAGCGGCCAGGTCATTGAACTCCTGAACTGTATCACAGTTAGCACTTTTACTCATGCTCTTAGAGCTTTATGTGCTAATGTTCGTATATATAAATGCGCGTTTTTTCTAAAAGTTACCTTTTCCAGTTAAATCACACTCCTTTTGTAGATCCGCCAGTTCAAATGTTGTTACGCGATTCCCAAAAGAACCACTAGGCAGGCTTCCTTTTCAAGGGTATCAAGATTTGGCAGTTATTTTCACCCTTGTCCAGACGAAGTTAGATCCCATTTATAAACTCTATCGAGGCGAAGAAGAGTTATTTTATTTCCCGTTGGCGGAACTACCGACCGTATGTCAATGACATTTGTTTATTAACATTATCTGAGATGGAACTAGAGTATAGCAGTAAATATAACTGCTGGTATTCCTCAAGAGTGTATGCATGGGGAGAAGTGCACAACGTGGAAACAAGGGTGTTGAGATAACTTGAAGACGATATGCGCTGACTTTATCAGCATATGTAAAAGGGGGTTTTTCTAAATTTCAGACCAGCAAATTGGACAATTTTGCTGACAGAGCACTCTCCATCGATCCATGGCCTGCTTACGCAACAGAACGTACTAATACTGATACGCAAATTCTTAGAGTTGGGAACCGGCTTCTAGCTCAGTCCAAAGAGCAGTCCAGTAAGTTTAGATTTTTTGCAGCAACCCAAAGAGAAATTTATGCTAAACGTTTGGCATTTAAGATTCGGGCAAATGACTTATTTCGGTTAACAATATTTTTAAGCAGTATTTCCCTGTGCTCTTTTGTTTACACACATTAGTCTATGTTTGTGTTTGCCGTCAACTGTGAATTCATAATTTTTTATAATCAATCTTTTTAAAACTAGAGTCGATTTTCTTGGATGTTGGTAGATGATAAGGCATTGGTTTCAAAGTGACTATCAATTGACATCAATGTCACTACTACCTGTGACGTATCCTTGAGCCTAGATCAAACTGTTCAATTTTTCACCTCATGATCTCGCAATAATGTGGACTTCTATTCAAGTGGCTCTTATGTCTTAATCCGCATCACTGCTGCGGTTATATAATGAAGGTAGTGATCGGATCGTGACATTTGATTGGGAAGAATAATGTGCGGCAATTTTAAACAATGTAATTCTTCAAGTTGGAATAGTTCAGATGCTAACATCTTTCCATTTACTGTAATTCTCCGTGGTATCTCCATTCTGAGGTTCATAGATAAAGGGGATTGGAAAGATTTGTTCAGAAATGGATATTTATAACAAATTTAAATGTGTAATAAAAGCACCATTTTTAAGAAATTTAGTAATAAAATAATCACTTTATTTACAGAGTTTATTCAACTTCTCAGAAATTCTATTAACAAGTTGGGATGTTTGTGGGATGTTTAATTCCACCTGCTTGTTTGCTCATGACATTACCACAATACATTGCTAACTCTTGTCAGTTATGCGGCTTTGTCAAAACCGTATTTTTCTCTCAAATAATCCTATGATGCCTGCTCTACTTTTTTATTGCTAGTAACTTCTATTTAAGCAATGACGATACTGCGGTAGAAACTCTATTTTTCTAAAGAATTGGATTCATTAAAATAACAATTTCCCACAGTCCTGGCTTTTCATCGGTTCAGTTTTCTATAGCCAAGTGGGAAGTTCCTGAGTTAATTGAAATTACGTTCTGCGTGTTATACCGTTAGCTCCATACATCTTCATAAATTACTACTGTGGGGTTTTTTGGCTTAAGTTTTTGTCTCTATCACGGTTTACTTTGCTTGGAGCCTAAAGTCTGACGAATATCAGAAATCACTTGAAAGCCAAATGAGTACATTGAATCCACTCAGCCGATAAGATAGGCCATTTTCTGACCATGTTGCTCTTTGCTCATATCGTGTTTCCTAAAATGACTGACGTTAGGTGGTATTCTGTTGTAACGTAACATCATGATTTTCAGAGCTAAAGCCTCCCCCAAAACCGAGATTTTTGATATTACTTGAGAATAAAATTATGCGAGACATGAAAAAACTGGGGATTTCTGAGGACACGTCAGATCCGCTTCGCCTTCAGGTAGGTTCTCAAATCCATTAAAATCAGTTTCCTCCTCTTCCCAACCGGGATTACCTACGCCAAACGCCGGAGGCTGAGCGTTTAAGCCTGGGTTTACGTTCAGGTGGCACCGCGTTTGTTGTTTATGTGCGGTGATGATCGATTAAAATCGTAAAATTAGAGCATTTATATGAGGATTTTGTAAAGTAATTATCTTGGAAGTTTCCATAGTTGCTCTAAATGCCATAGCTAGAAACTTAGGGCTGTTATTTTATGGATTTACGGGGTTTGGTGCGAAATTACTTTCTTTTTGGCAAAATATCAGGCTTATATGAACTTGACTATTTCAATACCATTAAGCATCACTTTTTTGCTCTAGCTATATCGTGAAATCTTTGATCGTTTTATCGAAGAATGTGCCTATTATGCTCCCATTTTGGCGAAGATCAAGGATCAGTATGAAGGGTTTATAATGCATTTACGAAAGAAGATAAACGAGATGCAACCAATAAAGGCAAGAAGCTTATTTACTGCTCAGCTTAAATTATGCTCATGAGGCAAATGCGGCGTTGTTTAGACTGATGAAATTAGAAATTCACTCCCATTGGTTGTTTTAGTATAAAATGATTATTTTTCTCCTCAAACTTTAGACAGTTTATTAAAAGCACTGGTAGTAGACAGAATAGTTTCACAGATTTATCATTTTAAAAAAAGTTGACAAGCATTATCAACTTGATATGGTTTGTGTTTCGCATGGACTTGGAATCAAATTCCTCACCTGTTCTAGTATATTCGTCGGCAGGCTGTCGTTTTGTATATATATTAGCTCTGAATTAGAAAAACCGTTTTCACCAATACAGCTCGAAAGACTACGTGGTGTTTAAACTCTAGTTAATAAATTGTGGCTCAAATTGGCATCTTAGGAGCTTCTCTGGGTTGCCTCTTTCGATGCGGATAAACGTGTTAACGAATTTCAAAATCGCGAAAATACGGGTAACTTGTTAAGTAGCGCAACCTCAAATTGCCGTAGAAATTGACTTTTTAAAGTCTGAAAGGAATCGTGACAAATTTAAGTTGGACAAAGTGCAACAGGAGTGCGTCGAGTTACAAGTGACGGTATGATTTTTTTATCGATGATTGTTTTTTTTAAGTACCACTTCATGCGATCATGGTGTCAGTGATCATTCTCACGGTTTCGGTTATCTGCCACTCAGCTTTGAAAAAATAAACATATGTATAAAGTGCGATTTTTTTTAGGTTAAAATTTTGATATTCACCAAAGAATAGCATTTTATTAGACCCCCATTGGATTGGCAAATACCTATTTAAGTAGCTTTTCTTCAAATGAGTCAAATTTTGCCAGTGGGTTTGTAAAAAACCCTACTCCATTTTTTTTTCATTCATTCAAAGCGCTTGAAATATGCATTCTACATCTAAACCAAACTCCATGAGACACTGGCATCGTAATTTATGCTAAGTAGATGGTTTGAAATGGGAATTATGCATAAGCGAGTGCTGATTGAAACGCATTCTGCGCTTTCTGGAGGTCTCAAAACTGATGGAGCAGCTGGGGGCCAGAGAGGAGGCTTGCAGCCTTGAAGCAGATGGAAGAAAGTTACTCGTTACTGAAGTGAACGACATCAACTCCAGACTGCGCGAACTTGAGGCCCTGACTCGGGCTGACATGGGGCGCAATACCGATGATCCTATTAAGCTGAAGATTTTAGTCGGGTAACCATAATCCTACTTACATCTATCAAAGCAATCTTTTAATGAACGGAATCAGTTTAGGCCAACATCCGGGTATAAAATTAAACAGTAACCGAATCATGAAATTTAACATTGCATTAGTTTTCCGACTTGCGTTGTCACGCTCTCTGATTTATGCTATCTGTTTTACAATGATCAAGCATGGCTCTAATTTTTGGAATCAGAATAATTGGTCCACTAGTCTTCACAAAAAAGAATTGTATATAACGTCGTTAGCAATCTAGGCTTTGGCATTTCGACGAGTTGGAGACAAGTGGTTGATCGAATTTGTGAATGGATCTGTTCCTCAAAGCCGTTGGTATTAGTTACCGCTAAATTTAGAGAATACGAAAAAGCCCTCGAGCGAGCCAACACAGAGCTCAACAGATATCGTTCAGATTTTGAGGAAAGGGTGCCACGAGTGAAGTATGAAGAAGCGAAGAAGCAACTTGAAGCGAAGACTAGGGAAGTTGACTCTCTCAACGAGGAGCTAGAGAGCGCTGCAAGCCGTTACAGGTACTTTGTGGAGTTTTTTCAGCGTACATTTTCTTTATTATGTGAAGACGTAGTGGTTGTGGAGACGAAGTAGGCGAAATTTAACGCGCTTTTGTGAACTGTTTAACTGTGTGCGATTTTCGAACTAAGTATGTCTGGGGCCTTCAAAATCCCCCAATCCTAATGCATTTGTTAGGGTTGGTAGCTTGCATGCGGTTCAAACCACCTCAACTTCTCATGACATACGTTGGCATGACCGCGTACAGAGCGAAAGCTTCAAAAAAATTTCCCACATTTCTGTGATTGACAGTCTTTAAAAACAAGTAAATGAAAACTTCACGAAGCGAAAATAATGTTGAGGCGAATTTATGGGGAGTGCTGTCTATCGCGACGAAAATATGATAAAGTATTATAAAGTATCAGACTGAAATGTTTCTTTTAGCCTACTAAAGGATCACTGTGAAACCCTAAACACGTGGCGGGATCTCTACAACTCTCAAATTCTCTACATTACTCGTGTCTTGGCTGCTAAGTGAGCTTATATTTCGTCAGTAAATATAAAATTGGGGTAGCTGTGCCCCTCTTTTTACTTCTAGCCAATTCATTGTCGTCATTTCATGCTTGTTTGTAAAGGGGGATATTAAAAATGTCAAGGGCGTAGATGAGATTACTTGCTATTAGTTTCCAACCCGTAATACTTCAAATCAAGCTACTTTTATCCCGAGATGGTATCTTGAGTGCCTCCGCGACAAAAAAATGTTTGAGTTCCGTAATTTTCACCGTCTCGGTTTTGGAGTACGAACTACTGATAGTGGGAACGTACTAGGCACTTTGAGAATGTCTGCGTCCCTGAATTCATACCACTTGGCATTGTCTTTAACATTCATTGCTAGATCCTCGAGAAGATGAACAAGAGAAATGTTTCATTGGTAGTTATATTTATTAAAAATCCGTTCTAACTTTTCCTTGGTGCCTTTGCCGTTTGCAACCGGTTACCACAGATTGTCAAAGAGCACTCGTCCAATTTGTTAATAATGAGATCCTCTTTTAAATTTTCGTTTTTAGATCAGATGCAGCCCAGAAAGTGGAATACATAAATGCCTTGCTTTTTAAGTACCGGAAGATAGCGCGTGAAAAGACACCCGAACAGTTAGCCGACTTTGTGACGCATGACCTGGCAAAAGCTGAAGCCGGTGGTCTCCCCTCTCTCACTCGGCCGACTGTTGGCAGAAATCGGTCCAAACCCGAAGGTGAATGAGGTACAACCTTCCCCTTTGGTTATACTGTATTATTTATTTATGATAGAAGGTACTAAGCTCAATTTCTCTTGTCGATTTTACTTCCACTTTGGGGTGTTAGTTGAGAAGCCTTTGATGTTGTGTTCACTACTTATTAGCGTAGAACTCAGTAGGATTGTTTGTCCTGCATTCCTGCTCGAATCCCCGTGATTATTCGAACTCGAGGATCTTCTGAAGTAATAAATCAGCACATAAAACTGTCACAGTTTGCTATCTCATTCAGTCGCAAAATGGCTGTTGATAAATTTTGGTATCTTATGTGACCATGCTCGTCCCTCTGTCGAGTGTTCTCGTGTTGAGGTGCCATTAAATTTGGCGATGACATGGATGTGCTACGCACTTAGCCAACTACTCCATAGCTCTGGCTAACATTTGCCCTTTCTAACCAAAAAGTTCTGACTCTGGTGAGGTTTTTAATTGAAATCATTTTAACTAAGGAGCTTAAACTTCTTATTAACGGTGTTTGGTGTTTCTTGCTGTTGTTTTTCAAGATTTACTGAGGAAACAGGTTTGTAGCATGCCACGAACATACCTTTTTCCAGAACTGCATAGTTGAAGTAGGTTTTTAGTGATTGGTGCTTGTGTCACATATATGTGACGTTGGGATTTTTTAGCCTAGCACCTCAGACGGCGTATTTATGTTACATTCGAGTACAAAGGAGTTTGCTTTAAGCTGAAAATGAAACTATAATGTGAACAGTTAGTCCCATATAACTATAGAGCATCTCAGCTAGAGTGGTAGGGTTTCCACCACGATCCTGTTTACGAACTGGATAAAGCCTGGCCAATGGATAAGCATTGTGTTGAAGTAAACCAATCATTGATTATAATATAATGTATTCGACCAAGTTGTTGTTGTTGCAAAACATAGAAGTTGATAATGAACTCATGAGAAGTCATAAAAATCGGGTCCTTCGACATGTCAGGTATTGTCTTGAGGCCGGTAAATAAACACGAAAATAGTTGTAGTTTGAGATATTGGTCTTTCACTTCAGCCGTAACAATCCTCCAACTGCATGTAAAGATCGTTTTCACATTCCAGTGCCGAGGCCGTCTCATTACTACAAGTTGCATCCTGATTTTTCTTTGTAGTGGGTTGATTTTCACCAGGTTTCTCTGTTTCTACCAGTCCACTGTTCGTTTGCTCTCCTCTTTGATTTGTCCTCTGTTCGGTTACCTCAGGAGTCGGTGGACGTTTTTGTGCCTCGCTAATCTCAGTCGAATTTGCAAGCTTAAGGAGAATGGGTTGAGGAATGTACTGGGGGCGAGGTGGGATCCTGGGGGCTGTCTTTGGTTGTGATGCTGATTTTAGATCATCGTGTGAGTTGTCTGTGTTTGCTTTAGCTTTTGATGGCATTGTTACCAGATCCTCCTTGGTGCCATGATGAGGGTGTGTAGTTCCACTTTTTGGGAGCTGATTGTTCGGACAGGTTATGCTGCTGACTGGAGGATTGTGTTTTGGTGGTTTTTTGGGTATTTGCTCCTTCCTTCGCTGTTTTATCTGCGGAAAACTCTGACAAGGTTTCACAACCGATGAATTTGTCCGCGTTGGCACATTTGGTTTAATATGCGTCGTAGATCCACTGAGTGGTATCGGCGGAGCGGGTAGTCGACGATCGGATAATTTTTGCACATCATCATTCTGCTTCACTCTCGGCGCCTGTAGCATCTTTTCACTGTTCCTTTGCAATTCGGGACCATTTTTATGCCTATCCATCAATTTTTCTTCGCAATACATAGACACTCGCGCTGGAGAAGTTTCAGGATCTTCGTAAAGGTCTTCGTTTAAGTAGCTCTCCACAGCTGGTGGCATATCGCTGCTTTTCTCTACCTTCATGGATTCATTCATACCTTAAACCCCCCTTATTACAGAGAAGTTTGTCTAGATGTACTTGTTGGTCAAGTTCGGGTTGATCAACCAATTCAGATGCATAACAGTACTCTTCGTATTCATCTTCTCCTCCATTGGGAACATCGGTACCGATTTTGCCATTGAACACTTCCGCTGCATGAGTTTCTGCATTCATTTGAGGTGTTTTTGCTTCCTTGAGACGGGCAGGTTTCTTCCCACGTCCTGGTTTCATAGCACAAAGGCCGAGCACTCTGGTGACTTGTTTGCCCCGGGTATTTTGCTTTTTTGTTGGTAGTGCAGTTCTGGTGTGTGAAAATTGTCTTGTAAACGAAGTGAAAATGCCACCGCGCAGTTCGTTGGGAATTGCGGTCGCATGTGTTTTTTTACTATTTTTCTCTCCATTATTATGAGTTTGAGTAATCTGACACATTTTCGGTGGAATGGGAGGAGGACTGTCGTTTCTACCTGGGTCTGCTAGGTTCTTAAATATTTCCTCATTCATGTAAATTTCACCATCACCACCACCTCTATCAGGTATTCCATCATGCAAGGCTTCATGGCTGGACTCTCGGCAGTTAGTTTTCGCACTCGGTGACTTTGAACTCTTCCTGTCCTTTAATTTATCTACACTGTTGGGAAGCTTGTTTCCAATATTTTTGTATTTACTATCACATATTTTTGGTATTGGTTTGTGAACTACGGACTCCATTGCGTGAGAATTCTCTTCTGCATCAAGATCATCATATAAATCAGCATCCGCGTTGGAATTTATTCCATTCAGGTACTCTTTTGAAGGCTGCTGTTCGAATTCTGTCATTTCGTCATATGCGTGTTCTGCGTCGGTGCTCCATTCGCTTTCACGACCCATTTTATTGTGAGCTGATACTTGATTCTCATCTACCCTGTGTTGGAGGGCTTCATGGCAAACCCCGGCAGGGCAAGCATTCTTATGTCTGCGTTTGTTATTTTTGCCATTCTGACCTCCGGCGCCTTTGTTGCGTTGGGTCTTGGGAAATGCAGAGGCCCTCCAACTCAAAAAGCGACGATTTACGTTATGAATGACAGATAGCCCGCTTGCAGACCTTCTTAATAGATGCAAAATTATCTCACTTCCAGCTCCCTTTTGGGTGGAGGCGCTTTTATTGGTGTCGACTTTCTCCTCCTCTGCGCCAAGTCCCTCGTATAAGTCATAAAAATGATTACTCTGTGTATCTTCATCATGACTCATGTGCTTTAGAGTTACGGATCCAGCTTGTTCCACCTCCTTGTTGCTTTTCGGTCCTTCTCTTTCCTCACATGAAGTACTTTTACTTCCCTTCTTTGTATTTAATTGACTCTTATTTACCTTGGCAACCGGATCTTGGTTACAGGTTGCAGCTTTCTGGAGCTCATTCAAATGTCCAGTTATGTCACTTTTCAACTTAGTGATGTTACTGATCTCATCACCCCGCCTGGAGCCTTCGAGGCCTGACTCGTTGTCACAATGGCCCATCCACTTCGGAGGACTTTTGGCCTTATTTTTGTCATGTTCTTTATTCACTTCTGGATTGGATTCAAGCCCCTTAGCTTTGCTCAGCATCCGTTTTTTTGTTTCAACTTTTTGGCCTTTCGCTTCTGGCTTAGCACTCATCCTGAAGTCCAATTCATCGCTCCTTTTGTCCTTCCATTTGACGTTGGCGTCTAATGGGTGTTTAAGCGTTTCAATTTCTGCATCACCTGATTCAGGAAAGTTGAGTTCATATTCATCCATGTAGATTATATATTCCATCCAGGGGTAAATACCGGAATACTTTTTCTATTATTTTGGTTACTTGACATTTTTCATAAAAAGAAACAGGAAATTATGTTACTTAAAATAAAAGAGGCACATCCAACCAATGCACGACTTGGCTGCGTAACCCTATCCGAATAAGGTTGTTATTGGTCGGTAAATGTGCCTTTTCACAACACCTTTTTACACTAAATTATGTTTGAAAAATTGGGAAGAAAGGGTTTGTCGCGCATCCTACAAATTGGTCTCCACGACCCGGAGGGTTTCCCACAATGCACAAACCAAGTGTTTTGTTGTCAATTCTAAGCACTGTCTAACCATGGATATAATGTAGGTCAAAACATGAGGTCTTATTTATTTTAAATGTTTACCATTTTTCAAAATGAAAATGGATTTTGACGTAACTCCCGAAATGTTGACAGCAAGGCGTAGTTTCGTGTGTGCGTGGCAAATTTAAAGGAATAAACACCAAGGCAATAAGTTATAAAGGCTCAAAGAAATCAAAAATTAAGGCGGACTGCATAGGCAAGTAAGAGCTTACATGCGTGTATGACCGAGAATCAGATATTAGTGTCTGTGGTCAAGCGCAGTGGAGGAGAACTGGTGAAATGTTTATGTGAGGTATTACGTAAACAGAGCATGACTAAATGAAGGCGGATCGATCGGCCGGACGACCAATGGGTCGGAAATGACACTGCGTGGTGATGGAAAATAACCTAACTGTTATACCAGCAAGCGGGACGGTTACACAGCGCATTCGCATAAAAGGAAGCACGAAAGAAAAAAAGCAAAAAGGTAAACATTGCTACAGACGACGACGAAAAGAACACCAAATTTAAAACGCATTGCAAAAAAAATGTATAAGAGTGTATAAAGTAATGTAAAAAAAGAGAGCAAGCCAGGAGGTAAGGAAAGTTAGAGCCATTAAATAAGAATGTAATCAAATAAGAGAAATGATAAAGAAGATGAGTGAGAAAAAAGACCGAACGCAGGCAACAAAATAAAAGCCGAGTTAGCGAGGGGAAAAAGTGGATGGAGGTGCGATCACGTTGCTGTGCCATTGAAGGCATTGCGGCATAGAGTGCATTGCAAGGGAAGTA